ATTATGGGAGATTATTATGTAAATATTATCAATACACAATTCAAATTGAGAGAAAGTTCTAAAGTTAGGCATTTTTACACGACAAATGGATGAGCCCACAGCTTCATTCAATCTTTGATGTTCTCACCAGCATCTTATTTTAATATACTCTTTTTTTAATCTTTGGCCAGCAAATGCAGAACAGCTAAAACACAATGTTAAAGGCTCAGCAGTGCATATCTGATTGAACAACCAATAAACAAGATACAGTGTTTCATTCTCCCTGAGACTCTGGGCCTCATTTTTCTGGAAAGACAGACTGTGGAAGTTAAAGTTTCCCATCCTGAGAACACTAGTGTTCAGTTTCCATCCCTGACTTTCTCTAGTGCCCTGTAGGCTTTTGTCATGCTCTCTCAAAAAAGTAGGTGATTCTAGGGAACAAATCGTGAAATACTCACTCTTTGTTTTTCACGAACTAGGAACTTATTTTCCTGAAGGAAAAGACATGAAGTGTATAAGTGAATTATATATTAATATATAGATTGTCAAAGTATCCATGACAACATTGATTTCTAGACATGTGTTGTAGAACTCAAAACATGGTTTAAGTCTTTTTGTTAATTTAGGCATTAATAATAAAAAAGTTTGACTTAATAAACAAACAAAGGAATCTATGTATTAAGGCAAATCTGACAGCTCTGGTCCTACAAAAACTGACTGCAGTGACAATTATCGTCACCCTTTGAAACAGGCACGAAAGCCCTAGTCTGTTACCATGTGCATCTGACTTTCTGTATCTAAGCATTTTGCCATTTCAACAGCTGTATTGCTCATTTATTCATTATTTTGTGTGTGAAAAGCTTAAGGTATTTTTTCCTACTCACTAGAAAGGTAGATGACACCCCACAGTTTCACGGGTGCCGGCAGAAGACATGTAACTCCTGGATTAGCAACAAGAGATGGTTTTAGTAGCAATAGCCATAGTCAACAGTATATGCTAGTATCAGTCCTGGGAGTGTAAGTTTCTGTAGGGGGATGTGGTTAAGGTCCATGGCAGTCACACACAAAGTGTTAAGGTTACACGGGAGAATCTCAGAGTTCGCAGTAGCAGAGTCTTCTGCATTAGGTGGTAAACACTCTCACTTACTGCTCCAAAGTATCCCCTTGTCTTATTTGCCAGACTGCAAGAGAAACTGCTTTTTTGTTCTTGGGATGCATACTTTCTTTAGTCTTAAGGGCTGCCCACTGTTCAAAATCCGTTAGTGGCAGTAGTTGGAAGATATGCACAAACACAGGATACAAGATCGCTGCCTACAGGGAAAGCCTGTTCAACAAGGCTCCTGTAGATTTCCCTCCCAAGAGAAAACTCAAAGGGTATCATCTTACTCATACACCATGTCTTATGCATACTGAAATCTTTGAGCTGTAGAAATTTTCTGACTCTTTGTCAGATGGTATTTAGTACAATTATTGAACTCCCCTGTTCCATCTTCCATCTACTGCTTTCTCCCACCAATCCTCTTAGTCCCTCTTGTTCTATTCTATTTCAGGAACCATATGTATCTATATAGTAAGACTAAAATATTAATAACATTAAGATATTTCTGCTATCTGACTCATTTCTGTAACATCTTTAGTCGGTATCAGCTGAGTTCAAGGTATAAAGGAATGTTATTTTTTCCCTAAGTGCAACACACAAATCTTACATGACTTTAAAATTGTCTATGATTAAATTTTATCAAAATGATTATATTAAGTGCTCTTTTCCAAACGTAAATACAGAAGTCTTAATTATACAAGCAAATTTCACAGAAAAATACCCAAATCAATTATAACTATGTGCCTTTTTAAAACTTTTAACTTAGTCTTTGGGGTTAAATAGTATTCATCTCTCAACTTTTTTCTTAAAATACCTTTAGATTTTTATTTATTTTGCTTTATGCATTTGAATATTTTGTTTGCATGTATGTATACCACATGCATGCCTGGTGTCTTTGGAGGTCACGTGAAGGCAATGGGTCTCATTAGAATTGGAGTCATGAATGGTTGCAAACCGCCATGTTGATGCTAGGAACTGAATCCAGACTCTTTGCAAGATCAATAAATGTTCTGAACCACTGAGCAATCTGTACATTCCTCATCTCTCCTCTTATGTGCCTCTGAAAGTGGTTAGTGCAGAAAGACAGACAGATGGAATTCCACAGCAGATACTTGAGAAAAGAACTTTTTAAAACATCATTTATGAAAAAAATGATTAGGATTTCTCATTTTTAAGTTTAAATTTTGAAATATGATAAACTCAAAGATAGCTATCAGCAAGCTTTGTTAACTCTGAAAGTACTCCTGCATTTTGAGCAACACTCTTTGTTGTATCGACTGAAACATTAGTGTTACCTTTTTTTTCTTTAATTATTTTTCTATTTTAGTGGCACCCATATTTACATATTCATCCCCCCATTTCCTCTCCCTCCAATCCTCTCATGTTCTCTGCCAACACCCCAAACCCACCCCCTCACCTCTTCCCCAGGGATAGTGAGGCCCTCCATGGAAGACCATAAAAGTCTGTCATATCGTTTGGGGGAGGGCCTAGGACTTCCTTGCTGTATGTGGGCTGCAATAGTATCCCTCCACAATAAGACAACAAAAGGAGATCAAGGGAATACAAATCGGAAAGGAAGAAGTCAAACTCTCACTATTTGCAGATGATACTATAGTCTACATTAGTGACCCGAAAA